TTTTATCATCCATTCCTTCAATATTTTTATAAGTTACTTTGTTATTTTAAGTTAGAATTTATAGTAACATCGAAGTAATTTTCCCTGAACTGTTGAATGCTTCACTTTGGAGCCCAAGGTGAAAGAGCAACTTACGTTTGGTACTTTGCTGGCTGCCATGGCAGAGGAGGAGAGATGGCTGTAGCATTTTACCGATAAATGCTTCTACCCAGAAACCACACAAATTATTTTCACTGGATAGCTGTTTTCACTGGTCAAGTCTCACAGGCAGGTCTAACTTTTAAACGTCAAGAAAGTGCAAATAAGCAGTGTACTCTGAGATACTAGAATATTTGCTTTTCCCGTGTATACCATAACTATGAAACATTTCATTTATTTTAAAACATGGATATAATAGATAATATTGTATAGCAGTTATCTAGAATGACTCAGGAAGAAACATAACATGAATAGATCAACAACTGATAAAGAAAATCTGCCCGGTAACTAACAAGATTAGGTTTTATGGGATAGATTTATCAAACCTTCAAAGATCTTAATTTTATGCAAATGGTTTCACAGTCTGAAAGAGACAGCAAGATTACCCGTGCCAAGAACTGTTAAAGTAATCAGATTTTATCTTCTTAGAAGCTAACAGGTTATTTAGCCAGTTTCATAGACGCTGGCAGAAGACACAATACTCATGGATCTGGGACAGAGGACAGTTTATTACTCAGAGCAAGGACAAGGAAGCAACATTTGAGATGGATATCTGAGCCCAATTTTCCACAACGTATCTCAAATATGGCCCGATGATATCAGCACATACAGTGGGATGTGACATGGGAGAACTCTGAGCTTACGAGCATCACCCCTTTTTCAATAGTTGCTAATTTAATAATAGTAATGAAGTTATTACAACTCTAAGTAAGCCTGCCCTCTGAACCAAAAGGAGACACTCTGTCATCCTCTAGAACTGTGTATGCTATACCAGTGTCTTTCCAAAGACATTCCAAAGCAAAAGTAGCTAGTGTCTCTGCCCCATGATATGCAGGTACACAGAGATCCACAGAGAAATGTCACCTAACAACCAACATGTTTTATGAAGCAAATAAAATCATGATACACAAACCAAGCACAAACAAAGAAAAGTCAGAATATTATAAACCATTGCTTCTTTTAACATAGGCATAAAATGCTATGTAAAATATTAATAAACTTCTGCATTATTTCCAGTTGGAATCCTTTTTTGGAATGAAGTGTATTTGTTAAAATATAGATTGAGTTGATGGGAAAGTCATGACACATTTTTATTTTTCATAGAAAAATACATCATGACTTTGTGATAATCTAATACATTGAGTGATTATGAGCATAATGTGGTATTTTTTTTTTTTTTGGTGGAGTTGCCATAGCCTTGCAAGTCTAATGAGGTATCTTCTGCTATTTTGGGCAATGCATGTATTATTATGCATTGGGAAGTTGGTTTTTTAAGTTTTACCTGACAACTGTTTTTAAGTACATATTCCTACTTTTAAATAATTACTGACAAATATGCATTTCCTATATATTTGTTTATACTTTGATTATAAAAATTTCTGTTTTTTTTTTTTTTTTTTTTAAAAAAGAGTACTGTAGCCTAGACTATGAATTGTAAATGAAGGCTTGGGGGACAATTGTAAACAAATTGGCTTTAGGGGGACAGGAAATCTTAGGTCTTATACTAGTTCATGACCCTCAGATACTCAACTGCATCAGACAAATATCTTATTCCTTACTATTTAATTCCTCTTTTTAGGAAGACATTGAATTTAACTTAAACTTAAATGAATTTACTTAACTTAAAGTTTTTTGTATGGGGATGCTAATGAAAAATAAAAGATTGAGAAGCACTGTTTTAGACTAGAGTTTCTTTAAGACCGGAACCATGTCTTATCGTGGCCTCACATCCTCATCTGCTGACATATGATGCATGTGCTCTCTATTAAATGTTCAATAACTTCCATAGTTTCAATGTATGATATTCCCACATCCTATTTAAAGTAAACATCTGACTCAGAGAAAGCAGCTCCCACTGAAGGAAACAGTTCCACAAGCATTTGTTAAACAAAGAATAATAAGCATACTGGTTTACTCAGAAAAGAGACATGATATAACATGAAGAGTAAGCACTGGCAGGAAAAGGCATCTTCTCCCTCATGTGAAAACTAGTGGCCATCATAATAAAAATAAAAAGAGTCTACATTTATTAAACCTTAACTATGGACCAGGCATGTGATTTACATGTCTTCAAAATGTACATGGAAAAATGCATGTTCTGAAAAAAGTATGCATGGATTTCAATTTTTTTTTGCACCAAAATAAACTTGTAGTTTAATTCTGTTTTTTGCACAAACTTTTTGGAGTCCCCTCATATTAATTAATTTAACCTTCATAGAACAACCCAATGACTTAGGCATTTCATTGTCATCATTTTACAGTGGAATCTGAAATTAGTCATTGATCTAGCAATTTTTCTATTGTCATAATTTGACCTAATACTTTTTTGGGGGGTGGTGGGAGGAGCGGTTTTTCTTTTTGCTATAGGACGCATGTGCTCGCCAGAAAGACAGAAAGATAGAAAGCGAGAAATCACCCCCCCCCGGGGGGATGGCTACACCACAATCCCTTCTCCTCCATTCTCCTCTCAGGATCTTGGGCATGCACGCACATGCACCCAGCATGAGTTTAAGCCACCAGGTCACAGACTCGAACTGCGGTTGACTACATGGGAGTCCAGCAACATAGCCATTACACCAACTGCTGGTCCCATGACCCAATACTTACCAAATAAAAATTTCTGAGGTGATTTTTCTGAGTCTGACTTTGATTTAGAAATTACATTTATCTCAAACAATTTATGATTTTGGAAATTCCAAAATTATAAATAACTGTTCACTCTCTCACCACCAAAAAAAAATAAACTTTAAAGAAATTAACACTAAGTAACCAATAATTATCCTCCTTGCCTATAAAAAAATACTGTCCAAGCCATCCAACATCGTCTTCTGGTGTTCAGAGCTGAAAACTTCCTAATCCAGTGCCTTTCTATGCTATCTTCTTTTTCCCTATTTACCAACAATATAGGAAATTAGCATTGGTGATGACACTTTCAGAGTGAAGGTAATTATGCCAGAACAACAAAAATAAGTTAGCTCTCCTGGGTAAGCCAGCATGTATGATCACCATACTCATAATGCTTCATCACTTGTGCTGTGTGTAAGCGCGGTAGTTTTCTGCAAATATACCATTAAAACTCATTCCTTTGGCTAACTGCAGTGGTACAGCTGTGAGGTAACCGTGGGATGCTGTGAGTATATGGGAAAGTCCTGAATTCTCATCCCAAGGTCTTCCTGTACACCCTAGGCACACATGTGCCATGTCCATGATCCTAGATAGCTAGGCTGGGGCTGGGATCGCAGCATGAAGGTCCTGTTGGGAGAGCATCTCTCTTCCTTGTCTTTTCTCCTCCACTCCCTCCCTTTCTTACCACCCTCATTAAATAGGTAGGTGGATAGATAATTGTAACAATAATAATTACCAGTAACAATGTTACCATTTCTCTGGCCTGCATTCATGAACAAGCTTTTGAAAAGGTATATAAACTACTTTGGTGGTTGTATTTGTTTATAGTAGGGTAATATTTGAATTTAAGGAAAACTCTTTACAGTTTCCCTTTCTCCTACACAAATATATCCTTTTCCCCTTTCAAATATTAACTACAGTTTTGAAAACAGTGGTTACATGGTCTAGAAAAGCTGTTGGGTGTTGCAATTTACTAAACTAGTGTTCCTCAAAGTAGAATGCAACAGCAGTTGTAAAAGTATGACACAAAGTTTACATTTAGAAAATATTATCATGTGAAGATACTACATTTGGTCCTAATAAATTTTCAAAATGTAAGGTGGTATATAGATGAGCAATCTTGTCCCGAATAAGCAGCAGAACTAAATTGGCTTCCTGACTCCACCTCCCTTTTTTTTTTGCTGACTTTACCATCCCTGCCCTTAACATCCTGAACTAGAAGAGATTTCTAATAGTTGTTCTTCATTATAAAAATATGTCAAGAATACAACATAGCAGCCAGTGAAATTAAGATATGCATTGTTTATGGTACCAGCTTACTTTCTGAGCACTTATCTGAATGTAATGAAGTTTTTTATATAAAGAATTATTTTATTTAACTTTATTTATCCACTTATTTGTTTATTTTAATTTGACCAGAGAAGGATAGAATGAGAGAAAGAGAGAGTAAGAGAGAAAGCGAGAAAGCAAACCACCAGGTCCGGGACTCGAACTGCGGTCAGTCATGTGGGAGTCCAGCACCCTTAACCACCATGCCACCTGCCGGCCTCATAAGTCATAGTTGTTGCTGTTTTTTACTGTATGATTCCGTTTATAGAATATACACAAACAGAACAAACAAATGTATGCCTTTAGTACTCAGAATGGGGATTTCTCTCAGGGTTTGGGGTGAGGTAGTGACTGAAAGAGAGCATAGGAAAGCTCTCGGTCTCTTTGTGATGCATTTTATTGAATTTTTTCAAGTTCTTTTGTTACCTAGGATGGTTTCTAGTTCTGTTATAATTATCATCTTTGTAGCTACATCATTTTAATGTTTGTATTCTCCTGAATTTGGCAATTAGAGGTCACTGAGAGTTGTGTCATTCAATAGAAGGAAAACCAGTAGCTTAATGTCAGTAGGGAGGAGAGAAAGAGAGAAGAGTTTGAATGGAAAGGGAGAAAACAATTACATAGCAAATCCAACATAGACAGGAGTTCAGAGGATTTTTTAATCCCTCTAAGTCCTTGCCATAGGGCACATGCACTCACCAAAACAACACCCCCCCACCCCTCCCCACCCCCCCAAAGGATGGCCACAAGCCATCTCCATTCTAGTTCCAGGACCTTGGGCACACTTGCACACATGCCTGGTATGATCTTCAGTGAGCTTTAAAATAATAGGTTCATACATATTCTAGGTTTCCACAGACGTGCAGCACCAGTTACAAGAAGGCAGTTCCCACATGGTGCACACAGGATGGATTACCTGCACTTCGAGGATGACAGCCGCGGATGGTGGTTTGACATGGATATGGTGATCATCTATATTTATTCAGTTAACTGGGTCATTGGATTTGTTGTTTTCTGTTTTCTTTGCTATTTTTTCTTTCCGTTTTAGGAATTTTCTTACCTTACTACAGTTGAACAATCATGAATGATGTAAATAACAATTGCTTAAACATTTTTAAAATGTGCTTTGAAGTTTTTATAATGTTGCATTATATAAATTTTTGGTGTTTATAGAAAGCCTGAGAATAATGGACTTATTTATTAATGTTTTTCTTATAACAAACTAAATTTTATTTAAGAACTAAGCTATTCAGCACTTAACAACAATGCACTATTAAGTTCATAGTTCTTTTTAATTTAGGATTTCTGGCTCTAATTTTACAATGTCACTTTATTGCTTATTTTGATTATAAAGACTGAGGTTTTCTCTCCACTTAAATATAGTGAAGATACAAAATGAAATGGTAATCTGAGTAGGTAGTATCTATACTGATAAAATATTTAGTCAATCACCACTTATTCTCAGGCAAAGTATATACATTAAAAATAAACCATATTCTCTGGGAACTAATTGAGCAGGGTATATTCAGTTTTGGTTTCCAATTATCTCTAGTCATGTCCTACTCTATTACCAAGAAAGCTGACTATCCTTTCTTGTATTGACCTAACAATAGCTTAGTAAAACATTTTTAATTAGTATGAGCAAAAAAATAGTAAATTCAAAAAGAGACTAACCTCCACCAATAGAAACTTAAGAGAATTCTATTAACACTTTCCAAACTGCAGGATGAATTGTCTAAAACATAAAAAATTTACAGACTTTTTGTAGTCTAAAAGAGCAATGCATGTCCAAACTGTAATTAATTTAGTGATTCATTTAACTAGGAAATGATCAAATATATTGTAAACGTGCAATAAAGAGTGGCTTTTAAATTTTTTATTGTTATTAAGTGATTTAATGTCTGGAATAAAAAAAATTATTCGAAATGGGCTTATGTGTTTATAGAAAGAAAGCTGGATGTTTATTTTTATTTATAATTACAGAAATCCTTCCAAATAATTTTTCTTATTATAGAAAATAAAGGAAAGATGAATTATCCCAATGCAAGAAGGAACTGGGGCAGTTATCCCAATTCTAAAAGTGAGAAAACTGAAGCAAAATAGATATAAGGTTATTTATTCTGTTACACAGGTGGTCTTTGTGAAACCCTAGATAAAAGTTTTGATTATGATGCGCTAATTCAGCATTCCCACACTCTGATGTCATGTGTCTGATCATGCAGTAAGCACATCTTACATAAAATGAATGGCTCTCTCATGGACTACAAAACCATCCAGAAACACTGGGATGGATTGGACTTGAACAGTTCTGTCTATAAAAAGTCAAAAGTTTGCCTAATTACTACTGACTATGTTTAAATAAAAGCACTTGACTGATGGCTTATGATGATCTAAGAAATATGAAAGAATGAAACAGATTTTTATTGTAATACTATTTTTGTTTTGTCTTTAAAATTATATCTATCAAAGAAAATAATTGTGTAACTTGAAATCATCATATCCAGAAAGCAGAAAACTAAAAACGATTTTAAAACATGTAGAGGGACCAGCAGATGGTGTAATGGTTACGTTGCTGAACTCCTACATTGACAACCATGGTTCAAGTCCTAGACCCAGCAGCCTAAAACTCATGCCGGGCACATGTGTATGTGTACCCAAAATCTCTAGAGATTGGAGGAAAAGGGATTGTGGTGTGGCCATTGCCCCCCCCGGGGGGTGATTTCTTGCTTTCTGTCTCTTTCTGTCTCTCCAGCGAGTGCATATGCCCTATAGCAAAAATCTCTCTATAAATAAATAAATAAATAAAACCCAGAGATAGGTTTATGCTCAAAAATGGATATTTATAGTCACTTATTTATTGCCCAAAGTAAAGATGATATAAGGGAAAATGTCAACCATCTTAAAATATTTATCAATTGAAAATTAATACATGATAAAGAACAGTATTTTAAGAACTTTAAAGTACATTTGTCATTTCCTAGAAAACTCTTGGTTTACATGCTCAAATAAGCCTTGATTCATTCCTAAATTACTTACAAATGGTTTTAGTTACATATAGTAAATAGGTAGTAATATATATTATATATACTTTTCTCAGAGAAACAAAATTGATTCCCAGTGCATATTTATTAATCAGATTAGCACTACATATTAGTTTTTAGATCTGTATTTATAAATTACATATAAATATGTATATAATACCCTCAAGTATATCCTTAAAAGAAGAAAGCATAATATAGAAAGACTTATAAATGAATTAGGTCATGTACATCCTCATTAATAATTTGTCTGAGAGTTATCATTGGCATATGAAAATTTAAAGTGAATTTGAAAAATATTATAAATTACTAATTTTATTTTAAAATGTTTTATATTTTATACAAATAGAGCTAAAAACTACTAAATATTAAGAAGTTTCATATTTTCTAGAGCTACCAGTTTAGAGAAACCAGATAAAACCTGAAATGTAAAGATTTTCTTCTGGCATCTAGCACATAGTAGCCATTCAATAGATAACAGTTTAATTTATAAATAAAACACATAAATAAGAATTAGAGTAAAACAATAATTATGCATTTTCTTTAGCATTTTTACAATATCTATCACATAAAAACTGATTTTAAAAAAATAGTGAGAAAAAGAAGAAAATCCTAAAAACTAATGAAGTATATTTGACTCAAGTAATATTCGTTATTAAGTTTAATTTTATTAGCTATCACTATCAACAGTTTCTATTTCTTCTGAGCTTAATTATGGTGAAGGTTAATTTTAACCTTGTTGACACATTCATTGAGGTGCATTTTTTAATGCATTCAGCAGGTAATTTATTCCTTTGATTTAAAAAGCAAATTCACAAACCCAGACCAATTTATGTTATATTTAGCAGAAGGTAGGATAATCTAAATTAGACAAAATTTAAAAGAAATCAAAATTTACATTCTATAAAGATTCTATCATTGTGAATTACCAAAATCAGGAACAAAAATAAAAATAAAAACCCTAACATTATTGTACTTGCCTTTTATATTTTCTTCTCTACAAGTGTGCTTGCTTGAGATATATAAAGAGAGTAAAAGTAAGAAAACACTCCCCAAGGGGGATGACCACACTGCAATCCCTTCTCCTCCTCCATTCTCCTGTTCAGATTTTGGGCATATAGATACATAAGTCTGCCATGTTTCTCAAGCCACCAAATCTGAACTCAAACCACTTAGCCATCTGGGATCCAGTCACTTTAATCAACATGCCACCAGCTGGCTCTGTACCTGCTGTAATATAAATGCCACTCTAGTATTAAATGCTAAATGTAGCAGCAGTTCCAATACTAATTTCATTTCTGCCTTGAAATCTTGCTCCAAAGATAGCTGTAATGGCATGACCCTCCTCCACACCAGAAGAAAATCTAGTTAAAATGTTTATTTAAATGGTTAAATGGTTAAATGAATACACTGTCTTTAAAAATGATTTTTTTTCTGGATCATACATCAAGGAATGTCTTATAGAAGGGCATTTTCTGGTTAAATGCAGTAACAATTAAAATGATTCTTCACAGAATTCTGCAGTTTATTTCAGGGGACATTATCATCTACGCGTGTTCCTAAAGGTATTCTATGTAATTTAATATGCTCAATTCTTCTTAAAAGTTTCTGATTTTCAAAGAACACCACAGTTCTAATATATGCTTTTCTCCAGAATGTTTATTTTCCTTTTGCTTTTTCTTTGACAATGCCTATAATAAGAACTGCTTTTCACATTTAAGTTTAGTTTTTCTTCCATAGAACCTAGGAGAAACATCAAGAAAACTTTATGGTTCATTCTCTTTACACATGTACCATTAATTTATTAAGTAATATAAGATACAGTCCTTCTAAGTTTCCTTTATTCTTTAACATAATTTTAAGTCTAAGAACTACAAAGACTGCCAAGTAAACAGAATGGCTAAATAACTGCCCACTAGCATGTATTTTTATTATTGATTGTGACTCTGGGTCACCTTTTGTGACTCTTGGTCACAAATTGTGACTCTCCCACCAGCAGGGAGTCACCTGAAACAAACAGAAAGAAGTACTTGAAACACAAAATGTTGAGTTAAGAGTGAGAGAGAGAAGCCACCAGAGAAGTGACTCTCCAAGCAGGATTTTCCCTTTGTATTTATTTGCAGAAGGACAAAGGAACAAGCTTGTTCATTATTTTCCGAAGTTACAAGGTGGTAAGGGTAGCTGAGTTAGCAAACTATAAGCTAGAGGGCAGGGTGTATCTTAACAATTGTTCTCAGGGGAGCTAGGTCCAGAGATACTGGGAGGAATATCTGGGGCTAAGAAGATAACAATTAAGAGATCGTTCTCACTGGGGCTAGGTCCAGGAGTAGTAAGAGTCATGTCTGGGGCTAAGAAGACAGCAACAGTCACACCGCTCTTGGTCAGGACAAGATTTGCAAGTACAGGACAAGAGATTATATTTACTCAGGAGGCCCACTGTTGTTTGCAAGCAGCAAGCAAAAGTAACCTTCGCTCACCAGCATTTGCGCCTGGTTTTCACAGCACACCAGGCCTGAACATTTCCTTCCTCATTAAACTAGAGTTCTTAAAGGGATATATTAGAAGTTGATTTTCTATGTAATAAGTGACAGATTTTCATTCGCCCTGGATCTCTCTATCCTCATTATACCAGAGCTACCAAAGGGACATGTCAGAAATTACTTGTGCATGTAGTTTTATAAGTGATAGATTGTTGTTATTCTCCTACAATTGATAATAGCAATGCAAGAGAACAATTTTGTTTTCTAAGAATCTGGCAAATATTTTTAACTTGCTTTACAGGTGTCATCTTGTCTACCAGCAAAACCATTAAGGGAAAAGGGAAATGAAAGATGATAACAGTTAACATATATTTATAAAGCATCTGTATCTTAGATATTTTGCTGGTCACCTTAACATGTTGCCTAATTTTATCTTTACAATATTTTTTATATCAGGTGATAATCTACTCATGTTACCGAATACAGAAAGTGATTTGTATCGATGTAACTTCATTTCTGTCTAATTTCAAGACTTGGTAGTCTTTTTTACTACTCTATACTATCATTAACATCTGATAACTCGATGAAGTTGGATATTTACCGAGAAACATAGATTACCATATAAGCATTATAAAAGAAGCATTAAGAATAAGACCTGATCTGGATCAAGAATGCAGAAATTAAGTACTTGCACTTTTTTATGACAATTTTCATTGCTTATACGCATCAAAATATCTTATGTAGTGTCCTATAACAGGACACTATTTAACATCTAGCACTGCTTAATGGTAACTTTCATTCTGTATACAAACTTTGGTTTGTGATGACTACCTAGAATGCTCATTGGCAGAGATTCTGAACTTACATCTGGGCCATTTCAAGTACTGTAAACTTTGGAAGTACATTTCTTTTTTTCTTTTTATTTTTTAGAGAGAGGTTTTTGCTACAGGGGTATGCATCACCAGAGAGAGGTGGAGACAGAGCTGAAAACGAGAAATCACCCCTCAGCAGAGATGGCCACGCCACCATCCCTTCTCCTCCATTCTCTCAGGATTTTGAGCATGCATGCACATGCTCCCGGCATGAGTTTCAAACCTCTGGATCCAAGACTCAAATAGCAGTTGGCAGTGACATAACCATTTTGCCATCTGCTGGTCCCCACTCTGTCTATTATAGTCCCTTGTTTGAAGGTAAATCAGCCATAGGAATATAGTATAGCAGTCAGCCTAGATCAGAAGTCTACAGCAGTGTTTCTTAAGCCTTCATATACCTACATTAAATTTTGTTAAAATGAATTATTTTTATTCAGAAAGTATGAAATGGATCTGAGATTCTGCACCGC